CTGAACTGCAGATAACAGTCAGCTGAAGGGGCCTGCAGTACTGCACCCTAACCACTGCGCCACCTCGGCTCCCTAGCACCTACAAGTCTTGGGTAGGTGCTAGGAAGATGACTTGGCAAGGGAAGGGTACTGCAGGCACACACTACAGAGTTTGAGATCCGTGAGATTTCATACTCCCCAGCAGGCTTCTTGGGAGAAAAAGCAACTGCAGCTTATGGGAGTGATTTGAGACCTTCCCTGCTAGCTTCCCACTGTTTGTGGGAAGATGGCAGGGAAGGTCACAATCACATGACCATGAGATGCTGTAACCATTGTAGGGGTGAATTGTGATCATGTGACCATCGGGGCGCTACAATGGGCAGAATTTCAAGAACTGGTTGTAAGTACCTCACTTCTTCAGTTTCATTACAATTTCAAATAGTTATTGAACAAGCAACTGTAAACTAAGGACTACCTGTAGCTTCCACCTTAGTTGAGAATTCTGAAGTATTTCCCTCTTAACTCACTGGAGAAATCCACTTGGGAAAGTTAAGTATGATCTGTTATGAAGATCCAAAATTAGGAACATAAATTATATACTACAAAAAAATGCAACTGGCAATTGTCAACTCTTAAAAGAACCCCCGTTTAGTAAATTAATTTTAAAATTTGTTAAATATTTAAAGGAGCTGTAAAGAAAACTAAACTAAACCTTTTTAAAGCAGCATCTTTTAAACTGCTTTAGGAAATTGCTTAGGAGGTAATCACACTAGTATGAAAGGGCTCAGACTGCGTTGCAGAATGATGCAGATATCTAATTTATTAACTAGCCCATTCATACTGTTTTTCAGGTACTTTGGTCCTCAGATTGATCTATAGCTTCATTTATACTATCTTCTTTAAATGGGGAGATTGCTATGACAATCTCTCCATGCCCTGATTATCCCAACACCAAGAGCCCATCATCACAGTGAAGGGACAAAAGCTCCAAGCAGAGGACCAATTTACATACCTTGGCAGCACCCTCTCCGTACAATGAGAATTGACCTCAAGGTCAACTGCAGAATCACCAAGGCAAGCTCTGCATTTGGCGGACTACTGACCAACGCGTGGGACTGCCGTGTAATAAGCCTTGCTACAACGCTCAAGGTGTGCCAAGCAGTAATGCTAACTACCCTGATGTATGCCAGTAAAACTTGTATACAGGAGGCACGCCAGGCAATTGAACCACTTCCACACGACCTGCCTCCGGAGACTTCTGAGGATCTGGTGGCAGGACAAGGTGCCAGACACAGAAGTCCTCTCCAGAGCAGGCCTGCCATCAGTTCAAATCCTGGTGAGGGAAGCCCAGACACGCTGGGCAGGCCATGTTGCAAGGATGCCAAACCACAGCTCCTCTCTGGCAAGCTCTCTCAAGGAAAGTGATCACACGGGGGACAAAGGAAGTGATACAAAGACACCCTGAAAGCCTCTCTCAAGTCCCTGAATATCGACACCATCTCCTAAAAAACCTTGGCACAAGATTGACATGGCGCACGTTGATCCACCAAGGTTGCCAGACATTTGAAGACAGAAGGACAACCGTAGCACAAGAGAAGCGAGCACTCCCCAAAGCCAGAGCTGCAAATGCTGCAATAGTGGTGCCCACACATGTCTGCCTGACATGTGGCAGAACATTCCGTGCCCATGTAGGCCTTACCAGCCACCTGCGGACATACCGTGGACAGCCCACAACCCATTAGATGTCAAGGACCTCTTCGAAAGCGATGGACGAAGATCATTCTTTATATGTTTTCCTTTGCCTAAATTTTCTTCCTAAATTTTTCTAAATTGCATCTCCTCTGTGCTTAGAAGCCACTACCTAGAGCAACATATGGGCAGAAGACATGATGGGAAAAAGTACTAGACACTCTGGCTTTCCGAACGCATCTTCTAGATCAGTGTTTTTCAACCTTTTTGTGCAAAGGCACACTTTTTTCATGAAAAAAATCACGAGGCACACCACGATTAGAAAATGTTAAAAAAATTTAACT